GGCCCCCCTAGTTGGCATGTCTATCATGTAAGTTGCAATGGGTTTGTCAGGTGATGATCCGCGCAGAGTCCTATACTTATTAGACCATTATCAGGGTGTGTATTCTACGAATCCGCTCGTAATTGAATCATAATTCATCCCCACCTCCTCTGTCGCCATCTCTCAGCCTCTTCTCGACATAAACAAACGTCGAAACAATCTCGTCCACCATATGCATCCCTGGCGGATGTATCTCCAAATATGCCTTTCGTTGTTGGGACAAGATGCCCCATGAAGGATGATTGAAACGGGCTATCTCAGTGTGGGGACTATCACAGCTCTGGAGCTAGACAAAACCATGTGAGATATCACCACTCTGCGAATACCCCATCCAATCCTCACCTTTAGATGACCCATCTTCATGCAAGGTACCACCCATCTGTACGATTGTCGGTCCTTCCCTACAAACACTCGAGTCCTACTCGCCGTTACTTTACCATCGAGACCTGACTCACCAAAATGTTCGACTCACGTTTTCAAGAACGCTCGCTCCTTCTTCAACATTTCTTTACTCTTCGTCTTCTTTCCGTCAACCACAAAGTCGGAAGGTCGCAGCGGATGCCACTCTATCCGAGCAATTTCTTCCCAATTCAGATAATCGTCCTCGTCCTCGCCTCCTTTATGATGGTGATGCTCCGGTGAAGGATGATGATGAGTTATGGTGGTAGTCATCCTAGAGTGTGTCCAGGGAGTATCGACTTTGTATGCGGGCATCCCAGCGGAATCCAGCAGAATGGTTTGAGTAGGATCGTTCTTGGTGAGTATAAGTTCCATGACGGGAATAGCTCGTCGGAGACGCATCCTATATATACAAATTCGAGGAACATAATACGTTGTACATGCAAGAATTCTCGGATGGACCTATAGGGATCTAGACGCAACTAGGCAACGGGAAGGGTATGACATAGCGTCCACACTCCGGTTCATGACGAGACTAGGGGTAACGTGTCCAATCCGGAGTGGTCGTGTGCTAAACATGTGGGACACACGACTGAGATCCGCCCTTGGCCGCCAAGCTGATTGGTGGTGCCCGAAGACTAGCGGAATAGGAACACTTTGAAACAGAATGATATCGCCGTCCCAAAAGCCAAGACGATGAAAGACGAGCAAAGCCTTCGCGGAGATGTCAAGCCCATCTGTATGTTTCTGGGAAAATTCGCTCACCATTAGGGCGATTCTAACGGAACTTAGAATACTATGGGGATATTTGGTTTGTGCTGCACATCTCGACGGATTTTGTTCACATAGACATAGGTTATGATGATGAGGTCGATGATGCTTTGACCGGCAGGGAAAATCTCGATACGAGATTTCCGATTGGAAGTGAATAACCATCCGTCAGTCATTTTCGCAACGAGGGTCTTGGTTCCGTCATTCAATACCAACTGTTAGAAGAAAAGATAATATAGATGGAGTGAAACCTGGAACTACCACAATCCTCACCTTCATACTCCGAAGACCGGTCGCAATCCACTTGAACTCGCGACCGTCTGGGGCTTGAAACTTTCGATTCCTGAAGTACCCAGAATCCTCTTAGATAGGAATGTAAAGGTGGGGAATATTCACTCACAGCAAACCCGCCCTTTTCAGGAATTTACTGATGCTGACGATCCTGCCATCGAATACCAAGAACGATGTAGTGAAACAGTGCCAGTGGATCCTAGCAATCTCTTCGTCGTACTGGTCAGCATACGACCCGGAGTAGCGGGAGATGGTGGTAGTGGGACCATGCCACTTGAATGGTGTCTCGATCTTGTAGACGGGCTGCTCCTGACTGTCCAGGAGAACAGTTCGAAGAGGGGATCCTCGAGTGAAAGTGAAAACTGTTTCCATGATAATGGTTGAGACGGGGTGTGCAGCAGCTGAGAGGGCCTTCAAACGAATATAAAAGCAGTGGGATCACAAGTTCATCTCGCCAGAAGCTCAAACTTGCTGCTGCGGATGGGGATTCTAGGACGAAGTCGGATTGGTAGCCGGCGCACCTGGCAGGGATGTGATCCGAGTCGATAGTAAGCGCGTATCATGATTCAGGCATGTTCATCATGGACTTGAGTTCACAACAGGAGTAACGGAGACGTCCTGGATGTGAGAGGATATCGTCGAAGGAACGACACTTACGGATAAGGGACGCGCCAGCTTACATAGTCCACGTGGGCTTCAAGCTTCGAGGGTTGGCCTCGAATATTGCCTTGGCTTCATTCGTTTTGTCACTGGCAGCCTCTGCTTTTCCTCCATGTCCTTTAACCCTATGGGGACACGACCCAGATATAAGCAAGGCATATGGTCTCCGCGATAATGACTCGAGCTATACAATCGTGGGACTCCTTTCCATCATGACCCTTCTTCCTCCGAACGTCTGCATTCCTGAAACAATGCTGCGTCAATTCCACAACGTTACGACAATAGAACCTTGATAGAACCCTGCCAAATGAACTTTGCCCGAATCACAGGACAATACCAATTCGGGGGGTGGGTTGGTTTGCGACATTGCAGCTACAAATAGGTTGCCGACTTTGTTGTCTTTCTGGCTATGGGATATCTGTTGAAATGGTCATATGGTAATTCAACGGACTCTTCCAGCGACGGTTGACCTTCTCGGTAGAATGTATCCTTCCTCTTTTTGTTGCAACTTTGTCCCGATGACTTTTTTGGCAACCCTGCGTCGCCAGAATCAAGTTCACGGACTACGAAACTGGGAATGAAATCGGCGACGACGACTCACGCCTTCTTGAGACAATGGGATACTGAAGGCCCAAGACCCTCTCGTCGTATCAATAAATCTCCAGCCATGTCGTTGCAGTGTGCCAACCGGGCAGCCCCGTTCCTCCCCAGCTGAACCTGAGACACTCGCCCAGTGATACCTCCCTATTGTCGAAATATGTCGGGTGATGATTTCGACCACATGCCGGGTAACTCATACGGGCCCCCTCCCTCGGCTCCAGGTCCCACTACATCCTTCTTCTTGTCGCAGAGACGTCATCCCGGCATCCGTCTCTCACCTCCTTGCGGCAAAGAGAACGACCCATCTGACATCCCCAACCTTCCAGGAGCTCGCAACCTGCTGCGCAGAGAGCGAGTTCCCCAGTCACGATGTACCGGAGGGCAACAGACTATCCCGCCCATTTATTTCAGCTTCCGAGAGATGCAGGGCATCAATTTGCACGATATGACGACTCGGAATCTGGTCATTGACAACGCCCGAGATCAGCCACTGGTGGACACGAACGCGACCGACATTATGTTCGGCATATATGTACGTTGTCCTTTCCACTCTCCGACGTTACGGTCTAATATTTTGGTTCATAGTGGCCTGGATACGAGCCCTTCTGCGACCCCATAACTGTGAGGACGCCACAGGGTACCATCAATCGTCTTCAACTTGCCCGAGCGGTGGCGGCATCCATCTCACGATTTTTCAATGACGTCGCCGTGAGTAACAAACGACTCTTTCGAGCCGTACGAGATGCGCTAACCATCCTTTTATCTGTTGATAGGACAAGCAGATGCCCAAGGTGTTGCGCCAATGGTCTGTCGGTGAAAGAGGAATCCGTTTCGAAGACGTCTGGCTGATGTCGGTAGAGTATACACAAGGGGGAATTTGGATTGCCCAACTTGACGTCTTGGCGGAGGCGTTGACGAGGAGGAGATAGAACGGGGTCACTTCTTCTTTGCGAAGGTGATGGCTAGCTGGGAATTCCTCCGTCGGAGTGGCTGCATTATGGAACTAGTAATTCTGCTTAACAACCGACCGTTCATAGTTAATTCAATGCTGAACTCTCCATTCTGACATCTTTCATATCAATCCGAAGTGGTGTAGTGGCCAAAATTATCGTATATCTTGCATATAGCCTGCGGCTATATGCCCCGGGGACGTAGGTCGCCGACGAGGGCGGTGAGGGTGACCCGTTGGGGCGACGTGTTGGGGCGACTCTTTGGGGCATGACCCATTGGAGCTGGGCAGGCAAACGGACAATGCCGAAACCCTGGGGCGTGGGGACAACTGTAAAGGTTATTCGGTGGCGGTGCACACTTTGTTCAACCCCATTGCCTCGTTGACCTCCTCGAGAGCGTACATATATAAACCAACAGCGATGCGATTCTTTAGTTTTCCTTCTTGTCTTCCTACTCTTGTTCTCAAAGCTTTGAAGCTGTAGTTCTCGCGTTGCTCTCACGGCTTTTCATCCTGTCTTTTTTCACGTCGCTCTCGTCCTTTTGCAAGACAACACTGTCCAACACTCTCTGACTCTCGTAATCACTGCCCACTGCCATGCCTCTCCTTACTGCCAACAAATAAACCCGCGCCGAAATACTCGAGGAGCGGACCTCGCAAGATCCCGCCCTCCGGCTCTCGCTCCTTAACTGGGACGAACTTGATATGCAACATAAGAAACATCTTATGCCTCCCACGGTTGCGTGCCACGGTCGGATCAAAACACTCTGGGCAGAATACGTGGAATATGCCACGCCAAAGCTCAACCCTGGAGTCACCCTCGACGCGGAATTCAAGAGAGGGATGAGGCTTCCCGATCAGAGTACGTCCCCATCTGACGTGCCTGCGTGACCCCCCATCTGACTAGCCCACAGAGACTGTCAAAGGATTCATCCAATGGCTTGCTACGACGCTCAAGGGTCGACTGCGGAAAAATATCACCTACAACAACCTCCAGTTTTATTTCCGGACCTTCTTTGCTCTGATCCCCCGCTACGCCCTCGTCTACGTTCCCTCCGAGCTTCGCCTCAGTACTCTGGCCTATTCTGTCTCTGAAGAGTTCATGTCTTTCATTAACCTCACCAACTCACCTGCGAAGAAGATATATGCAAATGTTGTCGACGGCGATATCATCATCGGCTTTATCTGGCGCGACAAGCAACGATTCCGGACCAACCGTCTGCGCATACAGTGTGTATATACGTTGAATATCTTTACTATCGGTAGCGAGCGTCCTGGTGCTGTTCTCGTATCCGAAATGGTGTAGTGGCTAACATTATCGCCTCTCAGCGATCAGAAATGGTGTAGTTGCTAGTGAACGCGATAGCCCGGGGTTCGATTCCCCGTTTCGGAATTGGGTAGTTCCCGAGAACGCTTTTTGTCCGTTCCATAACTTCATAAACTTGCATGAAATGGATAGTCGTAAGTATGTATATGATTTCGAACACCCGCGCACACTCTGGATCGACAGTCCGTTTTACATCAAAGCTATATACAAGTCTGGAATTGAATTCGGAAAATAGCGACATAGAGGACTACCTTGTAGCAGGGAACCGTGATGGTGAAAGTTCAATTGATTCAGGCTCGCGATCATGAATGGACTATAGGGCCGCAGCGACAAAGAGGGCAATAATCACTAATGAATCGTCGTGTCCGGAACCACCTGATGGGATCTAGAGAATCAAGAAAATCTAGTTCGTATATGAGCGGGAAAATAGGCAGCATATTGAACTTACAACTGGAACTTCAAGGACTTGCGTTCAATGAAGAGAGCCATCTGCATCGGTGACAATCCAAGACAAGAATTGTACTTCCAAGCCGCTACGGGTGGGGGCACAACAGAAAGGTCCCGCTTTAATATCTTCATCGGGGCCAAACGGCGCAACCCGGACGAGACGAAACGGCTCGTCGTCAACTCGAGCTCGTATAGTAACCGATTCACTCGCGAGGCTCGCCCGAACAGTGACCTTTCTGCCCGACCACTCTGGTACCGGCGCAACAGACCAATCCGACTTTCCATTGGTGACAACGGCTCCCAACTGAAGCTGACCGTCGGCAAACTCTACACCTGCTTTGATCCATTTGGTTTCGTCGATCCGTAGAAAGGCACCTGCTTGGTCGAATTGTTGATCGAACGATGCGATGAATGAGACCTCGATGGCTGATCCAGGTTTGAGAGGGGCGACGAGAGCGTGCTCGCTGTCGTGAACAAAACCGTAGGACGTGTGACGCCATGCGTCACTGCCTTCGATAGCAGAGACGATGAGAGTTGTGCCGTCTGTGCGTTCGGCGGCGGGTGGATGCGTCCAACTACCAGTCGACCATTCGATGGTCTGTGTTTTCCTGTAAAAGGGTTTAAAGCGATGTACCGGTGCCATTAATCGACGACTTACGTTGAGTGGGTCATATCGTTGGACAGTAGGTTGTGCTGATGACCTCTAAGACGAAGTGGACAGCATGAGAGCCATCCTAAGAATGAGTAATCGCATCGATAATAATAGGTTGAGGTTCCATCGTGACCTGTTGAAGCTCTGGGACACTAGGATATTTTGAGGAGTAACTTGACTTCCACGGAAGACTACACGGATGGATATGTGGCCTTCGATCCCATTAGCGAGCTCGAAACGTTGGTGTTTTGGGGCACATCGCAACCGTCGAACGTTGAACGCCGGGCTGAGGTCTGCATCCAACTCGGACATCTGCGTCTCCGAAGTCCGTCCCCTCGTGGCTTCCATGTGTCAACCCAAGCCAGTCCCTGCCTTCGCCTCCTGACCTCCAAGATCTGTTCAAACTCCCCAGTTTTTGATTACCATGGTTCAATGGCTACCATCTGCGTTGCATTTGTTGCTCTCGTCGCTATTGTGGACACCCAAATCCGCGATCAAAGACACTTCCTTGCGATTTCAGCTCCGGCATGAGCACGCAGTCACCAACAACTCCAAGACAATCTTCTCTGATGTTCCACCGAATTTTACTCAAGAGTCATTGCGAATATCCACCAGACCTCTCCGGGCCCACCGTCCTGTATCACAAACGACCTTCCATAATGCCCGGATGAGCTCTATGCTTCGAACTGGGAGTGACATGCAGCCGGAGCGTGTCTTGTGGGAGGACATCGAAGTCCTGGGTCCTGAGGTTGGAGAGAGAGAGACGTTGTCGGTCTTAGCGAAGATGACCAACAACGCTTATTATGAGTCTGCTGAGCCCATTCCCAAAGACTGGTACGACTTGGGGTCAGATTGGAATGCTGTGAGTCAGCCTGGTTCGTTTTGCTTATCGCGGTGGGGAACAGACGTTGTGCTGTCATCATTTTTGTTATTATTCTCAGTGGACGGACCGTTGCTGACGTTAGGACTTCAGAGCTATCCATTTGGATGGGAGCCCGACCAGGATGGCTTCCGAGGCTACGTGTTCGTCTCGGAGGACAACTCCACCGTCGTCCTCTCCATCAAGGGTACTTCCGCTGGATGGATGGTGGGAGGAGGAGGCCCGACTACCCGGAAGGACAAACTCAACGATAACCTCTTGTTCTCCTGCTGTTGCGCTCGCGTGGGCCCGACTTGGAGACCTGTCTGCGACTGTTACTCTGGAGGATACAAGTGCGACCAGAACTGTGTCGAGAGATCGCTCGTTGAAGATAGTTTGTTTTATCCTATCGGCACTGTGCGGTTATCCCTTTGACACTTGTGATGTATCGTTGACGGTTACAACCACAGAACTTGTACAACAACATATCTTATATGTACCCCGAAGCAACCATATGGCTCACAGGTCAGTTCTTCTCTATTCAACTGTACTTATAATTCCCTTATGAGAGTCGCTGACCTTGCTCAGGACATTCTCTGGGAGGCGCACTTGCGTCACTGGTAGGTTCGACATTTGGAGCACCAGTCGTCGCATTCGAAGCTCCTGCCGAGAAGTTGGCCGCCAAACGATTGCACCTCCCCTCTCCAGTTTGTTTCCCTTCAAAACAGTTGTCGTTTATCACGTTAATTCTTAGCTTCCGATAGCCCTCTACTCAGCACATCACCCACGTCTTCCATACAGCCGATCCTATCGCCATGGGAACTTGTAATGGCGTAGCATCTGTCTGTGCAATCGCAGGGTTTGCTTTTGAATCTAAGTTGGTTGAGCTCCCTCTTCAGATGCACGCTACCTTCTTACTTAGTCGCTATAGATGTCATCTCGGCCAAGTCATTTCATACGATACGGTGTCGAAACTGAATTGGACTGTTGACCTTCGCACCCATTCCATTAAAGTGGTCATCGATACGATTTTGGCGGAGGATTGGGAGCCTGGCGTTGATGGGAAAGAGGGAAGACAGGTACCAGAGCCTGTCTTTGAGGACGATTGTATTGTAAGTCATAGTTTGGCGACATTTTTAGGGAAGTTTTGACAGGAAAATGAAATAGGAATGCTTTGACTGGGAATTCGGGGACTTTAAAAACCTCTCGTCGACTGGTGGGTGTGGCCTGTAGTCTTTGACTTTCTTCTCTGGCGCCCCAGATAGAACGACACTTCCAATCCAGATTGTATTATCTCCAATTTTCCGACAACCATAGAACCATTTGAAACCAATGTAACTACTATAAGTATTATTAGAGCGTAAATGTAGAGTCTGTTATAGATATACGTCAGTCGTGGCGATGAAATGAGCGCGTGGTGATTGAAAACGAATGTGGCTGTTAGGGGATGCTGGTCGTGAATCGTGATAATGTGTCGTTTAACGCCGTCGAAGAACCGTGAACTGCGCAAGCCAAGTACGCCCAACGAGCACCACAGAGGTGAGGTAAACGTCTTTAAAGTGGACCGCATTTGGTACATTGCCAATCGTCCATTTTTCATTCCCCGCCGAGGGACGGAAGCGCTGTTAAGGGGTCAAAGTTCAGTGGACAGGGATGTTAGAAGAGATTTGAAACACTAACTACATGCTCGGCAAAGTATCGTTGGATGCCATGAGCAACTATTTTGGCAATGTGCCTCCGCGAAGTCTCGGTAAAGAAGGCCTGTTTCACAAAGTCGTATCCGGGCCACTGGAGGTGCCGTGAGTTAGTGGTGGTAGAAGAGGGAAAGGGGCAATGCCGACCTGTATCGCGAGTGGCGTGCTTGAGAGGTGCATGCCAGCCATAACTGGATCACGAGCTCCGTCTACTACATATGACCCTTCCGAGAGGAATCTGTACAAGTTGATCCCAAGAGTACCGTTATGGTGGAAAGTGATCTCCTCGGTCCCCATTTGGAATGTCAGGGGAAGTCGAGGGACATTCTCTTGATAGGTCAATGTACCAGCCACTGGAGGCACATAGAAAGCATCCATTAAGCATCTCTGACTTCGGGGAACGCTGTTCGCAGATGGTGCGGAAGAACGGGGAGAGAGGTTGTAACCGAAGGAGGGGTTGTGAATGTGCTGGTGGACAGGGTCGTGGAAGTGAGTACAAATTTCAAGGATGGACGGGCGCCAACGTACGCGAAGAGCTTGGACGTCAAAAGGGAGGCCCTGTTGTTGGCTATATGTACCCTGTTGTTGGGCGTTTTGCTGAGCGGCGAAGTTGAACATGGACATGGCGTAATCGTGAAGATAATGATATTTTGTCTAGGTGAGGTTTTCTGGACGAGAATTAGGTGGAGTCTATGTGAGAAGTAGCGTAGAGGTGTTCTTGAGATGTCGTGTAAGTGCCAGCCAACGTATCCAGACGTGGGTGAAGATTTCATGTCGCTGTGACTTGGGTTTTTGTAGGCAGCAGCATCACAAAAATGATCATGAGATCATTGTCAACCGTCTAGCGAGCCTGGACAAGAGCCATAATAGAAGAGTTGAAAGAATAGCATTCACAAAAGCAACAGGAGTCGGCGGAATAGACGCATTACAAGAATGAGATTGTGGGCGTCGTTAGAATATCACCTTTTGTCCTTGCAGGCTACAGGACGTCGACTTCCGGGGTACCCTAGGGCGTCAATTATTCACCTTTGACATGGCCTAAGTTGATTCCCGAGCGCTACTGACAATAGGCCTTGATTTTGAGGCTTCCAGGGTGAGGCGTCAATCAGCATCTAGGAAGTTCCTTGCGTTCCCTTGGCTAAATGTGTAGGCTTTATTCCCAGACTCAGACATTCTGTCATTCGGAGGACGAGAAGTCTGTCAAGTCACAATAGCAAGCAAAAGAAGAGGCACGATTTCGGACAAGGACCGGTGATGGTAGTTGGAGTTCAACAATAGGCGTGGGTGGCAAAGTCTGGCGCGTGAGCACTGATTCACACATTCACAACCTGAGATCCCCATCTGCGCCTGATCCCCTCGTTGTCGACACTCAGGTTTAAACGATGTCGACTATCATATAATCAGTAAGAACAAT